AGAATGTACTACAGCACCTCTGCTGAATACTTGATCTTCAATATTTATTTATTGCCATTTTAAAATTTATTAAGTTACAATAAAATTTGATCCTTATTTTTCTAACTTTAAATTTTTTTATTTTTTTTTTTCGTTTTTGTTATTTTTATGTACACATATACACATATACTTTTTATTTGTATATTTAAATATAAATCTCTCATCATTAAGTCAATAATGTCCTTAAACTTTTTTTTTTTTTTTTTTTTTTCATACTTTTGAAATGTTTCCAATTTTCATATATTTACTGGTTGTATTCCAAAATTACTGTGTGTATAATTTTACTTTTTTTTTTTTGGTAAACACTCTAGGGAAGAAAAATAATTTTTTTATTTTTTTGCTATTTTTGTATTTTTACTCTTTTTTCTTTCTTATTTGTTCTCATTCAAAATCTAATATATTAGAACATAATACCTATAAACACACTTATACTGTAAAATACTCGTATATAAAAATCACTTAATAAGGGATCAAAACTCTCTTGAACATAATAACAAAAAAAAAAGAGAGAAAAACAAAATTTTAAGACAAATAGGGAAGAATGTTAAGTGAATCGGAAAAGAGTAAAAAAGAGAAAAAAAAAAAAGAAGAGAAGAGAAAAAAAGATTAAATATAACAATAAATATAAATTCACCTGTTTCATACCATCATTGGGGGAAATGAGACAGAATAAATATACAAAAAAAAAATCATCACAAACAAATTTCCTTACAACACGTGTTCAATAAATTGTCAAAAAGGATTTTTGATATCAAACATAGCAATAACAAAAATTTAAAAAAATAAAATTATTATTAAAGAATTCTCACTCTTCCACGCCACCATTTTACCGCATCTCATGATATTGTTACAAATAAAATGTGAAAGAGAGACTGTTATTGCTTCTAACTAAAATTTGTTTTTATATATATAACAATGTTATCAGCTGTTATACAAGATTTAATGACAATACCTTAAAGAGAGCTCATATATTATATTCTATTTTGCCTCGTGAATTTCTTACAAGGATAATGGTAATGTAATTTATTCTATATTATATTCTTAATATCTTATATTTTATTTTCTCTTACTCTCTGGAATGCTATCAATACATAAGATTCTCAAAGCCGTTCTCATCTCTTATCTTCGTTATTTAATATTTTCTTTTATTATTCTTTCAGTTCAATAATATTTTTTTTTCTCCTTACATAACCATAAATCAAAATACCAAAAAAAAAAATGAAACTTCAATATTTATTAAATGTATACAAAACGGATTCGAAGGACTTTTGTCCCCAAAAATATGCAGGAGAAAAAAAAGCAAAAAAAAAAAAATTTTTTAAATTTTTTTATTATGAATTTTCAATTAACTGAAAATTCTGTTTTAATTTCATGGTTGATATGAATTTCGGCAATATACGATGAACAGGTATTTAACGTGTATTATCAGTAATATAACAATAGTATACTGAAACTGTTATATTAACTTCAATATTGTATCAACTACTGTTCCAAGGCATTATGTAAATTAGAAAAATTTGAAAATCAAAATTAAATCAATAAAAAATATTGACAAACAGCGGTGCGTAACATTAAACTAACAAGAGATTAAATGCTCAATAAACAGAATTCGATTTTCATATACACAACCACATACGCAAATAATATATAAAGCAAATTTTCAAAAATTATTTTTAAATAATTTCTTTGGAAAATTTGCGTATTTTTATTATTTTACAATTTGTGTTCATTTTTCTTCAGAAATGCCATAAATGCTTAAATAAAATTTATCCTAAATTCTTGGATTCAAAACAAATCAAAAACAAATATAAATTGCGTTTGATTTTACATTCGTATACGATAGGTATTATGAATTTACCACCGAGTCTATATTACCGAGAGAAAATATTTAAGGTACAAACATAATTTATCAGCGTTCAATTTGATTTATAATCTGGATATTAGGAATAACCGTAAAAGAGAATTCTAAAAACTGGGCGGTTAGAGAAAGGGCATGTGCGTCAGCTCAGGTAGGTACAAAGTGCAACCGAACAAGTGTGCAAGCACGAGCCTGAACCCATATTGCTCAATGTTTCAAGCTGAACTACATGCAATAGGCACCTGCCTCAGTAGCGAATAGAAAAGAAATACAAAAATCGCATCGATATACTTTGATATTGTAGAGCGAAAAAATATAGTTTCAGTGCTATTCTTAATTTGATTTCATAGTGCAAATATTTCAGAATGGATAACACGGTAATATCGGTGGATTCTCATTTTTATTGAAGGCACATTCAAACATACAAATATAAATTAATGTACACGAATTCATAAATTGATTATTAATAATTTATTAACAAAATTATTGACATTTTACTCATAAAAAAAAGTCTTCAGTCTTTACAAATAATTGAAACAAAACAAAAAAATTCTACAGTCTAAGACCAAAAACTTTGAATTAAAAAAATTCATAAAAAAAAATTAAATAAATAATTTCCAAGAAAATTCATTTTGCTTAAGAAAATTTCCTAAAATAGAGTCACAATAATATTGTCATACAAGAGAAAAAAAAAATGTCCTATATAAATCAAATGGGACTCAAGAAACAATTTTTAGAACTAAACAAATTTTTCTTCAACAAAGGATATTCAATCATTCATATGTAGTGATTATTTTCAAAAGGGAAAACAACACTTTTTTCTTCATCTAAAATGAAAACAAGAAACAATAATAATCTCAAGGATATTTTCTAAAAATAATTCTTCGTATTCGTTCTAACTTAATCTTTTAGCCTAAAAATGAATTACACAGTTGATTTGATGAATTTTTACTCTTCAAGATGACAGAATTTCAAGAAAAGTTATAAAAAAAATATATTTTTACTTTAATCTTTTTTCTTAAGGACTTACTTGCTTACGAAATAATTCAAAGGAAAAAGTTAAAAAAAAATTATTATATAAGTACAAAATTGAATAAAAAGTATAAAGAGTTGTTCTAAAAATTCAGAACATTTTTTTGTTGTGGGGCACCTGTAAATTTATATCCTTCTTTAATTAAATATTCTTATGATCTTCATTAAAGAAGATCCTACTAAAATTTTCGTTAAATTACTAAATTGTGCTATTTTAAGAAAATATTATTAAAGCTAATTTAGAACATAAGCATATTTTTAATGTTTTCCATTTATTTTAAATAAATTTAATTATAGGAACCGAGAGCAAGGGTATTTGAACTCGAAACCAAAATATTGAAGTTAATTTTAAAGAATTTTCCAATTTAAATGCAATGCTGTAAACCGCAAGAGATTCTGACCTTAAAGAGTTCTGTTTAATAAGAAATACCAGCTGAGAAATGCTTGAAAATGCTGGCTAGAACAATGCTTTAAATAATCCCATTGCGTTGAATTTAAAACGATAAATTCTTCATAATAGTGTGACGAAATTTTTTTAATTCATTTTGAATTTTTTTCATTCAATAACCTTATTAAAACCTAAGTAACCAAAGAATTCATTATTTCTACTTGAAAGAATTTGAAACCAATTTTCTCTGAATTTCTAAAATATTAGATTCAATAAATTCAATTAAGGATTTGCACACTGATAACATACAAATCCAAACACTATACACACATATTCAAGTATATATATATATATGTATATGTATATAGGACAAAATCAAGTAAATACTCGTAAATATTTTCATTTAGGATTTTCTCTCGTTTTGAGATTTAAACTTATTTTTCTTACAAATAAAAAGCTTACCGTCTTTAAAAGATTTAACTTTGATTTTAACTTTTTATTTGTTAAAATTAAATTTTATAATGTAAGTATCTTTTTATTCGAATCTATTTGTGTATATAGGGTGTCCAAACTCCAGTGGTAATTCCGAAACAGGATAATAGAATTGGTTTTTGTTTTTCAAAATTATTGAGCCTTTGAAAATGGGTTCTCCTGCAGAAAATTGTTAACTTAGAATTTTACGATTAACTAGGAATTGAATATTTAGAAATTTTTATTAATAATCAACTGGTTAATTATCTAAATTTTGTAGATTCCAGTTCAAGTAACTCAATGATCTCTTATAGAAAAACGCTTTGTTCATCATTTTATAGCCTATTTCCTATAAACTGCTTGTGATTCCCTTTTTGAGTTTATAGGAAAAAGGCTGTTAAATGAAATTTAAAAAATTATGTCATGTAGAACAATACAATCGGTTAAATTTTTAAGAAGATGGTAACTGAATTTCAACTCAAAAAATTGAAAATTTATAATACCTTACTTATTCTTTTTAATATTTGCCTCTGTAGATATAAGTTCAAACTTGTATTTTTAATTTATGATTAATTTTACACAATTTTCAAAACACTTAACAGTGGTTCTTCTTTAAATACTCTGTAGAAATTAGCAGCATTTTTCTTATTCATATTTATAATTGTTTAGGCTTATATATCATAAAAATCAGTACAGTTGTGTTCATAAAAATCGGGACAGCGTGAAAAATTGTTATTGTTGTTAAAACAAAGAGGTAAGGTCTAGAGTTGTTCCCCCCTCTCCTTCCCCTCTCATTATGTTTTTCTAATCTTTCAGGTCTTACAGTTCGTTCTGTACAGCCCGTAGCTTCAAAATTTTTTAACAAAATTTGCAGTAGTAATCGTGTCTCTTCTTAATCGTTTTAATTCTTCTCGTAAAGGCAATCATTTCAAAAATTATAATAACTGATTTTTATGCCGATTGTAATTTTGATATTTTTCTAATTTATCCTTACTATGTAACTGTTTATATTAATACTAATGTAATACGATGCGTGTGCCTTATTCTTATACTTGCCCAAAAGCTTATCTAACATTACGTCATATATTAACAATGATATGATCTACGTCTTCGTAATTACCTAGTAAAAATTTTTTCTCCCTGAAAATTATGTGTCCCAATTTTTATGAATATTACTGTATATAATCTATTAATAAATAAAAATATACTCACCATTTATTTATTGATTTGAGTCTCACATAACTTTCACTACTGCTCTTAGTTTGTTTTATTTTGTATAGTTAGAAAAATCTTTTTATTTTCCATTTAATACAAAATCAAATTAATGTGAAATTTATCAATGAATTGATATTTTTCCTCTTTTATGTGTTGATCGTATGTAAGTATTGTACAAAATACATATGTATGTATCCGCCTCCGTGAAAAATTTCAAAAGAAAGGAAAAACGAACAGGACAAGAATTTTTTTGAAAAAAATTTCCCTGAAAAGAAAATATTTTGAAAAAAAAAAAACATGTATAAGTTTTTGAGTGACACATAAATAAATATACAAGTACAAATTTATAAAGAGAAAAAAAAGGAAGAAAAAAGGATATTTTTTTTTTTATAAATTATTGTAAAAGTACGTACATAAATAACATTTTTTAATAAAATTTTCTTTAAAAAAAAACATATACGGTATTTTTTTTCCCCCAAATATCCTTCAAGGACATATTAGAATTTTTGTTTTTTTTTGTCGATATTCACTTTGATTTTCTATTTTGTGTTTTGGGCACGTCATGTAAATTGTAAAAATAAAATTCACAAGCAAAATTTCTATGTATGTGTACGAAAAATGTATGTTTGTCGAACTTATAATTTAGTTTGATTTTATGCACTTAATATATTAAAAAGTTAAAAAGTAATAAAACTAAAATTAGATAGAGAAAACAAATATAGAAAGAGAAAGGAAACAGAAATAAAGTATGGAAAAATAATAAAATAAAAAATTATAAATTTCAAAAGAATTACAAAATAGGATTTTATGATCCTTTTCATTTGATTCTAATTCAAAGAATTCCATGTATTTACCAAAATCCTTGAAATTGTCTAGTGTTGCTAGTTTATTTATTCACTTATATAAATTGTCTATTTTACGATATTGTGTATTCTTTCGATAGTGAATCTATTGTAACAAAAAATTGCATATTTTATTACATTCATATATGTAGGTCGTCTGGACCAAATCCCCCAGGGAATATTTTATAAAACTGCAGAATATACTCGAGAGACTCTGGCTCAGACGACTTCTTCAAATTATGTAAGTCGAATGATGTTAGCTCTTTAAAGAAATAGATAAAACGTTAAATATTTTTTGGGAAACATTAGTTCATAAGAGAAGAGATCATTTGAATGGTTGCTAGCTGTTCGATATTGTGTTACGAGACAAAAGTTACGACACTCAATTATGTACATTTTTCGATCTTTAGAAGGGTTTTATGAGCAATAATTATATCCTTTTGAGTCACAGTATTTTTATAAATTTATACGATTAAAGCATATTAGAGCAAATAATTGGATTTAGATTAAGATCTACTTGATTGCCTCACAAAAAATTACTTATAACAAAATCTGGCTGCTTGCTTAATAAATTATTAAATTTAATGACTATATTAAAATTAAAAGAACAAAATTATTTAAAATGAAAATTTAATTTATATTCCAAAAAACACAAAATCCTCTCTTCGAATAATTTTAATTCAATTTTCTTCTTTAAAAAGATGAAAATCATGTATACACACAAGGTGCAGACACTTAAAAATTTTATTTAATTTAAGAACGAAATGGATATTATGCATAATCCAATACTTATATTGGCTATATGTAGATGTATAATGAAATTTTAAACAGAAGTAAAATGGTCCTTAAAAAACACGCTCACATTTAAGGTATATTTAAAATACAAGGTATTTAATTTCATTTAAAATGTGTTTAGGCGTGTGTATAGTGTCTTAAAATCTTAATAAATAATCACTTTAGAATTTTAATTTATTCAAATAAAATTCTAATTTTATATTCTTTTTTTGTAAAATCTTTAATACTGAATTAATTCAATAAATTAAACAAAGAAGGATACCCAAAAAAAAAAAAATTATTTTTATATCACTTGATTGTTTCGTAATTTTTTTTTTTTGAGATTTACCAACAAGTTAAATACCCTCATTTCATTCAAAGTCATAAAATTTTGTGAAAACTTTTTTTTTTCTCAAAATAAATAATATAACTTTCTTTTATATAAAATTTCTTAATGTCAAATTACTCTGCTTTTATTTATTAGTATTTTTTAAAAAAAAAATTCTTGAAAAAAGTACTTGCTAGTGTCACTATGGCCGTTCGTCCACCATTGGACTCGTTCACAAAATTTCTACACTTTTAAAGATTGAAAGCTAAAATTTCATAGAAGATTTGTCAAGAGCATTCAAGTTGTCACCTGCCGAAATTTGTGAAATTTGAAATTTTGGCTCTTTATATTTCTGAAACTGCAAGCTTTTCCAAAATTTATATAAATGCAGAAAGCTAAATGTAAATGCCATGCCATCACAAAATTTAATTATTTTTTGTAACTCATGCAATTAACCCTTAAATTCGAGCATTATATTAACGCCTTTTTTTTCATCCTAAATTTATGCAATATTTAAAATATTTCAAAATACGAGTGAAAGTAGTTTTATTAATGTAGTAGATTCGCTTATTAAAGGGGAAAGTGCTATTTTACAAACCAATGTTTTGACCCAACTTTATTTTTTATTAACAATGAATTTCATTTCTATATCTCAAAAAGAAAAACACTAAAAAAGAAGACAAAACAAATTTAAATGACAGAGGCATTTTAACTTCTTATTAAATACACATTCATATATATATATATATATGAAGATATATGTACATACATGTATTTTATTATTATATATTTATCATTTAAAAACATTTAAACTCCATTATGTACAAATTTATCTTACGCTACATGACACACTACATACTATGCCCATGCCAAATAAAAGCTACACATTTCTCAACTATATATAAGAATATTAAAGCAACAAAAGCCCAGTATCGTATACACAAATCTCAGGTTGCCATAAACATGAAAAGGTAAAAAAAAAAAAATAATAATACTACCTCGGCAAAAAAAGAGAAAAAATAAAATTAATTTTGTTTTTCATTTTTTCATTTTTTAAAGTAAAACGTCAGTAATAAAAGAGACACAAAAACAAATAAATAAATATAAGGATAAGAGAAATTAAAGACAACAAAACGAGAACACAAATACAAGAAAATAAAAATGGCGAATTACTGATTTAAGCAAAAAAAAAAAAAAGAAACAAAAGCATAAAGAAAATGTCATATAAATTAACTTTAAACTGTTCTCGACATTTGAAATCAAAATGAATTGTTTTAATTTATTTTTATGATCATCATGACCAGAATAAAGAGTAGGCCCTTCTGTACATATGCTTGTGCATATTATGTATGAAGATTTGTGCATAAATAGCGATATTACAATGGTTTTAAGTATACATGAATAGAAATGATAATAATCGGTGAATTTTTATATTAAAAACAAGTAAAAACGTTTCAGTCGGTATAAACCGATTGAATTATACCCTGCCCCTTTCGTTATTGTGTAGCAATCACTCGAACCTGTGAAATCATTCTATAGAAACTTCACGGACATGTCTGACCTGGACATCCTGGCTATAATTGGACATCCGACTGCCAAGTTTCATGAATCTGACCTTATAATTTTTCCAAATATTTAAAATTAGCTTTTGGAGTTGTATGGCAAGTATCTGAATCTGTCAAGCACTTCCATCAAAACTTCACAAATATATCTGATCTATAATCGGACACACAACTGCCGAGTTTCATGAATCTGATTTTATCATTTTTCCAAATATTAAGAATAAGCTTTTAGACTTGTATGGGAGCTACTCGAACCTGTCAAGCAATTCCACTAAAACTTCACAAATATATCTGATCTATAATTGGACACATGACTGCCTAGTTTCATGAATCTGACTTTATTATTTTGCCGAATATAAAAAATTTGCTGTTGCAGTTTTATGGCAGCCACCCGAACCAGTGCAGCTATCCCATTATAATTTTTAGAGCATGTGTAGAATATAATTGGACACATTTATACAAAATTTTATATTTATAGCTTTATTAGTTTTTGAAATATTTAAAATAAACTCTTGGAGTTGTATGGCAGCTACCCGAACCCGTTGTCCGACTTAGTCCAATAACAATAGGGTTCGTCCTTGGCACAAAAGAAAAAACTTGTGAAAGTTTGGTGTCGATTGCATTATTCGTTTTTGAGTTATCGTGCGATCGGACGGACGGACGGACGGACGGACATGTCTAAATCGACGCAGAATTTTACGCTGAGCAAGAATATATATATATGTCCATACAGCAGATGACTCCTTCAAGTAGTTGCAAACTCCATACCAAAGTTAATACACCCTTCACGAAGTGCAGGGTATAAAAATAAATTAGAAAATAATATACATACACATAAATAATAAATAATTGCAGGGGTATTGGAACTTGGCACTAATAAACTGAATATTTGGCAGTGTTACTGTTACTGCTAATTTTTATAATAGTACCGTATTACCGTCACATTAATTGCCTTTATCATTACTCTCAATACTCTTTTTAAAAAAAATCTCTTTTGATTATTTTTCTCTTTATCATATTAATAAAAGACTCTCTCTCTTTCTCTCTGTATACTATCATATTGTATTAGGAGCTCATAAAAGCAATTATTTCAACTATATAAATTTATAATTACTGCTTTGGTTAAGAAATTTCAGAATTTTTTAGTTTCAATATAGACTTTAAATAGAGAGCTCTAAAATTATATTATTAAATAGAATATGCTAAAATTATTAAATTATAATATTATAGTATATTTCGAAAATTTGAACACAATCACTTACTATTCAATAATTTGAATATTATAATGGATTTTTTACTCATTTGGTTGTAATTCAGTTAAAGGGTGACCAGTCCACAACTTAAAAATCTTATTGGAAGAAACTATGAAATACCTAAACCACAAATTTCACATTTAATAATTTTACATTGCAAATACAAGCAAATCATCATTGTGATTACTTTTTTCTGAAAATTTACTAGCCATTTTAAACTAAGAAAAATCAAAATTTAAAAAAATTTCCTCTTCGTACGCTCTTTGAGCTCAACATGTAGCTCAAATAAAAAGGAAATCAATTTTCTCTAATAAATAACATTGAAAATCCTTGTCATTTTTCTCATTATTCCAAAATAAATTAAATTAAGCACAATATAGCATCACATTTTTATCCCCAAAAAAAAAATATCAGAG